TACTACTAGGAGCAAGAACGCTACTAGGGGCTCCTGGCCTTACTACTTGGAGCAAGAACGCTACTAGGAGGACGCAAAGATCGCTCTGTTTCTTCCCAAGGCTTGGACCCAATCGCCACCTTGGAGGACTGGCATGGCCACGCCTCGGCGCTGTGCACGTCGCGTCGTAGAAATCTTCAGTTGTGCGTTCCAAGCGACGAAGACCTGGCCATCTGCCGGCCCAAGCGACTTGAGCCAATTCAGCCGGCCCATAGCGCGAAAGCCAGTGCAACACTGCGCAGCACAACATACATCATACAATGCAAGCAAATCAAGCAAACTGTCCAACAGTGTCAAGAAACTAGCTACAAGCTAGTACAGCAGATAGAAGGAACTAGTATACAAGTATCTAATTGTATGCATATGTAGAGTCCAAACCATCTTGCTGGGTCATGCTATGTCTACTACCTTTATGCATCTTTATACCGCCATTAACATCCTCCACACAACTGAGGCTAACTGTCGGTATCTTCCACTTCCCCACGACCTGCGTCAAATCAGCTGGTGGAGTCCAGGACACAACGCCTCCGATCTCCTGAGGGTCCAAATCCTGGGAAGCGCGAAGTGTTAAAGAAAGTGACGCTACTAGTAACAAGGGTACTACTGGTAGCTTCTAGCTACTAGTAGCGATTCTTCTTGTTAGTAGCTTCTAAGAACGGACAGGGTTTATTTTTGAGACTCCCCTTTAAAAAGGGATTCCAAACAACCTCGATATGTGGTTTCACAACTCAACAGAATCCCTTTTCGAGACCATAGAATGCTTAAAGAACTCTCATGACTAGCTCCCAGCGGGAGCTCTCGGATGACTTGTAAACATGTTTGTGTCTCTGGTCTTGCAAGGCCACAGTCATCAGTGGCCATCTCTCCCAATCTCCCGGATACATCGACATCCGCTTGATCGACCCATCCAATTTCCTGGTCATTGAAGGCGACATTGGACACGCGTGACACCACGTCATAGATAAGCCTTGAAAAGCAACCAGGAATCTGTCCGGCTCAATGTCCAATCTGTTCTGTTCTGGATATTGTTCTTTCTCTCTCTCTCTCTCGCTAATGCAGTCCAAAAACACGGCTTCTGGTACGGACGCTTCCCCAAAATCAGACCTGGCAAACCCACACGACTGCTTGGACTGGTGCGTAAATGTAGAGTCTTCGGGTAGACTGCTTTCAATAGCCTGGCTAATTGCATTCTTTCTAGTCGCAGCTGTTGAAAGTCAGTTCTACACCTGTTTGCACATTGCATTTAACCACCAAAGCATCGACGCACATAGTGTTGCATCTTGCTTGGTTCTTCTGGGCAATCCTGTGATGTTCTACAACAATGAAGACCATGTTTAATTTTGATTAATAAAGACTATCTTCAAACTACCTCATGTACGAGGAGAAATTCAATAGCAAGCTAAGGGCCTCGTATACACTGCTACATGCGTGTAGTTTTCTGCCGCAGTGTTCACCGGGATGCTGAAGGTGTTGCTCCCAACCTTGGCCATAGAGCACTTGAAGCAACTGAACCTACTAGCTGTTGCAGGTCCAGCAGAATCTGCCTGCGCAGGAATTCACAAGTGGAGATGCAAGAACCTGTGATACCCAGGTCATAATCTATTTCCAAGCCTTTCCAGACTGTTCTTGGCATCCCAACTGAAACATTTCCAAGCAGCAGTCTGGAATCAGCCTGAACATCTGTATCGCGGCCCGCTTGGCTAGCGGTTTTCTATGTCGTGAGTCTTGAAGTGTTGCAGAACACGGTGGTCCGAAGCATTCTGAAACATCATGACAGGTCTCAGTGTCCAACCATCTGGAGGTAGATAACATAGCCTGTTCGAGTAAACTTTGGACTCTTCGTGTCTGATTTCCTGTTGCACCTTCCAGAACTTCGGACTCGGAGTCGTCTTGTGTCCAAGAAACCTCAGAATTTCACGGCCCAAAGCAGGAAACCAAGAAGTTTGGCTCATTTTCACGCTAGCCAAACTTCTGAATGCGAATGATTGAAACCAAAAGAAGTCACAAGAAGAGGTCCCCACAGTTCCACCCAACTCTTCATCGAGATCTTGGTCTGTGAAGGCCAGATTCTGCACCTCTGAAGCAGGAAAGGTAAGGGCCATACAAAGCCAACAGGCCAGAAGCTAGAGTCTTGCTTCATTGCCCAAATAGGAGACTTGATATTTTTTGCGCATCAGCAGGTTAGTCTTTTTGCACTTTGCTAACTTCGTTTCGGGCAACTCAAAAATTCTTCAACCGCTTGCTTGTTTATGCTTTTTGATTTCACTGCATTTTTGCTGCAAGAAGGCCAGTGCTAGAGTCATGCTCTTGGGTCCCTGACATTCAAGGAAGAGTCATTGAAATACCGTGCGATTGGTGTGGTTTGCTGGTAGACGGACGTGCTGTAGACCAGTACTTTCTCAAATGCCTCAGGGACATGTTCACTGTGCTCTCTCAATGTAATTGACTTGAAAATGGTCAGAAGAGCCAAACTCAGGTCAAAACGAACCTATCCAGGTAAGGCTCGTGCCCCCAAAGGCGTGTCCATGGAGATGTCAATCCTCTCAGAATGAATCCGGTGTGGCATAAGCAATCCCGGCTGAGGTGCTAAGGAGCCAACTGGGTTGTATCTGTCGTTCCCACCAAGGATCGGCCTGAAAAGAGAAAAAAAAAAGGAAAATAGTTAGTAGCTTCTTGTTACTAGTAGTATGGCCAGGAGCCCCTAGTAGCGTCCTTGCTCCTAGTAGCGATGCCAGGAGCCCCTAGTAGTTTCTTGTTACTAGCAGCACTGGTGAGACCCACCCAACATGTCGCACTTTGTACTGCGGTCACACCCATGTCATGCTCATGTAGATCTCACCTCCCGCATCAGCTAGATAAACAGCCTGGCGTTTGCAGCAAAGATTAGTGTTCGCAAAGACACATGAAGACTAATGTCTTCGTAAGCTTCGTCATCTTTCCCGCTGTGAAAAGTCCACTTGCAGAGTGGTCGCAAAGACATGCAGCTGCGACAAAGAAGACAACTTGTGAGTACTCCTGCAGTCGGTGAAAGCTCAAAGTCACGTCAGTGCACCTATGGCAGAAGTCAATTGCACAATAGTAAAACACGGGTAAGGGCTCCAAAAAATAGAATCAAAAAAATATTCAAGCCCACTGAGGATGGTTGGGGTAGTGGTAGTGGTAGTGGTAGTGGTAGTGGTAGTAGTAGTAGTAGTAGTAGGAGTAGCAGTAGCAGTAACAGTAGCAGTAGCAGGATTAGGAGACCAAGGGAAGAGGATGGAAGGAGTAGGGGACTAGGAGAGTGTACCTCCCTAGGAGCTCCTTCCTAGTAGGGAGCTATTTCTACTGGTGAACCATTTTTCGAGTAGGGCTACTCAATGACTGGACGGCTACCATCATTGGGTACCTACTTTCCTCCCAGGGAGCTGCCTCTAGTAGAAAGCAATCAAGCCTTGATTTGCGCAAGCAGGGGACCAGGAGACCGAAAGACGAGCGGAGTAGGAGAGCAAGAGACCAGCGGACCAGGAGACAGAAGGACCAGGATACCAGGGGACCAGCGGACCACAGGACCAGGAGACCGGAGGACTAGGGGACCAGTGGACCAAAGTACCAAGGGACCAGGGGACCGAAGGACCAAGGGACCTTATTACCAGAGGACCCGCAGACCACAGGGCCAGGAGAGCAGCAGAAGAGGCCTATCAAGGAATATACTTTTTTTGATTCGCTTTTTATTTTATGGTGATCCTCTTTTTTTTTGATGCCCGTTTAATTTTTTTTGATACCTATGTCGTAAAACACCCATACAGGTACATCAACTCCTAAATTTCAGGGCCTGTGTGAAGACTGTTCAACAAATGCTCGCCAGAAACACACTCACTAACCTTGCTACGTGGTAAACAAGCCACAGTGGGTGTCATGTTCGTTCCAAAATTCTGTGGTGCTTCAACCGGTCCTGTGGCATCTGCCAAATGACTTGTCCGGCAACTTCACCAGCATCGAGATCCTGACGACCATCAGCGTCGAACACTGGCAACGGTTGAAACTTCCCCGACCGACCCAGCGGCTTGAAACAAATGCCTTATCTTGCATTGTCTTATCTGGAAAAGTATTTTATTGTCTTATCTTGAACGCAGGCTTCCTTGTCCGCAAACTGGAGCTGTCGCACATCCGAGCTGGTGTCCTTACATCATGGTAGCACGGTATACAAATTGTTGCAGCATCCCACAGCTGTTTTCGCGAATCAAGATTGCAATCAGTCTGGGAATAGCGCGTTGATGTCATGTGATGCAGGAGTGGACTGTTCCGTCAAGGATGACAAGGTGTAGACCTCTGAAGAATGTGAAAAAGAAAGAACAATGCAAAACAAGCGGCTGCTGATTGTTCTTTTCAACCACCACGAACAATACTAGACCGCCAAGCGGATATAAATCAGGACTATATATTCAGGACTCATGACTCAGCCCTTTGCTATTCAATTCCCCGAGGTCTGGGCAAGGAGCTCGTTGAAGTCTTGAAGTCTCGTGTTCTCGGGAATCTCCAAGTGATCTGAAAGGACGGAAGCACCCACTGCTTGTCGGCCGGAGCTGTTGGAAAGGTAGACCTCGGAAAATGCTCAAGCGAAAACATTGCAAACTGTCTTTCGTGGCGTCCTTGTTACTAGTAGTAAGGCCAGGAGCCCCTAGTAGCATCCTTGCTCCTAGTAGCGATGCCCTTTGCCCCTAGTAGCGTCCTTGTTGTCTTGCTCTCGGTTTTGGTGAGCCTTGTATCCGATGACATGCTCGGTGTCGTTGGGAGGGCTCCAAGAAGCATTGCCACCCAACTCCAAAGCATCCAAATCCTCCAACAAACAGAAAACTGTATGAAAACTCTGGCGACATCAGTGCATTTGCAGCTTTCTTTCAAGGAAGGCTACCAGAACTTCTTGGTCTTTAGCATTCTGTAGCCAAGCCCGCTTCTACCACAGTTCTAGAAATGACCCCACATTGTGACACCAATGTTGACACCAAAGAAATGAACTTATTATATACATCAGTCGGTTCCTAAACTCATCACATCGTCCTGATCAATGAACTTGAGATTCTCCACAGTGGCTTGCACATCGCTGAGCTTCACTACATCAGGGGTACTCTGTTCCACAAGAGCAGACTGCAAATACACGGCCTTGGCAGGTCAAACACCTTCTTCCTGCAACATCGCGGCATGTGCCGCGTATCACTAGCTCATGAGCAAGTAATTGGAGAACCTGCGAGATCTACTCACAAGCCCGCGATGCACATTGTGTTTGTTCTGGTTTCATTGTGTTTGTTTGTGCAGGAAAAGAGGCTTTATTGGTTTCTTAGTTGTGATGCAACGCTAGTACTACTAGGAGCAAGGACGCTACTGGGAGCAAAGGGCATCGCTACTAGGAGCGAGGACGCTACTAGGGGCTCCTGGCCGCACCATTATATGTTTGAATTTAAGTCGAGGCACCACTGCACTGTATTCATGCTTGCCAGTGTCGGGCAAAATGTCCTGAAGACTATCAAGAACTGTGAAACAGTTCAGTGAAGTTATTCCTATTGTGTTTGAACAGCTGGAGACGTTCAACCCCTGACGTCCACAATGCTGCCAAGCTTCAACGGTGCTGGCGTCAAAAGGTAAAGTTCCAATCAGTGACCGGTTCTCGCTTTCTTCACCTGAAAGGTAGACGTTGATGGCCACAACCTGCCGCAACTGCTTTGACTTAAATAGAAACAACAACTTCTTGGTTCTTGAAGTGACACACATGTTCATTTTGCCTGCTCAGCCTCTATACCACGCAGGTGGGGATTGCTTCCCAATGACCCGCCGTCTTGGCGGAGTTTGCTCGGACCCATCCGAATTCATGGCATCTGTCTCGTCCTCCGACGGGTTCCACTCACTCTCAGTCTCGCTCTCGGTCTCGGTCCATGGGATCCACCTTTTCAGCTGGGGAATCAGAGAAGGATCTTTGGAGGTGGCAAAGAAAGGAAGGACTTTCACATCAATTTCCAAGGTGATCTTTGCACCGTTCATGTCCACGAAATCAATTGTTTGACCGCCTGCCAGTTGAGAAGCACCCAAACGAGTTCTACCCTCTTTGTCGCGTTCACAAAAATGACACGGAATTGACAATTTCCCGCAGTATGGAAAGCCGCATGGCTCTTTGGGCTCCCGTGGCTTCACACGGCTAGAGGTCCATCGACGTGTGGAGGACACTGGACGTAATCCTCTTTGCACCAATGAGTCTATGTGAGTGTGTAGTAGAAGTGGTACACCATCAAGGGACAAGAACTGCAAGTGCCCATCTTCGTTGGTACTTATGTATAGTGTAATTCTCTGTTCGGGTCGAACCATCTCTAAGAGATCACATTCTGCAAATCTCTGCCCACTGGCCATCGTAATGAGCCCACGAGTATCTGGCCTTGTTTGCCAGGGCAAAGGAATGCCGTAGAGCATCTGGCGGACTGCTTGCAAAAATGCATCTGCATGCTTGTTCAGAAGTGCTGGCGTTGGCCCGTAAAGGAATTCGTCTTCACCTTCACCCATTTCACTGGTGAGGCGAATTTTCGAGACTACTGCTGGCCAGGCACGACCCAAGAAATCCGGTGAATTCGTAATGACCAGACCATTGTTCCAGGTGCTTGCAGCAAACATAATTGCCCGAACGATGTCCTGATGCGAAGGTAGGTTTGAGATCTTAAGCTGGGGATCGATGTGCAAGGCATGATGGCATATCTTGGTCAAGTTCCCAAAAGGTTGCAAGGCTTCACGCCACGCACGGCATGCAGCACAGCAAGCTTTTAAATGGTGCCACAACTGCAATGCTTCTAACATAGCTTCAACAGCGCTCAGCCCCCAAACGTTTCCATTCCGAATTCCACCACGCCAATCTGCAGAGGTAAAATTGAAGAGGGTGTCCAATACCATTGAACCAATGCCTGGATTCGATACGAGGAAGGATTCTTGGGCATCAGACAAGTCAGCATGTAAAATTCTCACTTCCAGTCTTGTATAAACCTTTACCTCTGGGCCTGGTGCCGGGCCAATCACCGGCTCCCAGCGACCAAGCACGTTGGAATCTTGGCAGACGTAAAGCAACTGCGGCCCATCCCAGTCGTCAAGACCCAAGTACAGCCGCTGCTCATCCAGAGGATAAAGTGGCAAAACCTCTGCAAGGAGACACCAGCCAAGCTCGTGGATATATTCAATTGAGACAAGACCTGGCTCAAGCTTGTATTGCAAGTGACCGGTGCGATGGAAAGTCCCTTTGCAACCGTCCCAACCGCTTTGTCCAACCTGGAGCAAAGGCATCTCAGGGATCTCCGGCCCAAGGAGACATCGGTCTTCCAACAAGACCTTGCCACAGGTCCGCGCTGCACGAAGTGCGGCACGCCATTCTCGAATACAAGTTCCATCCGGCCAAGGTGGCTGACACATCAGAGATACCAAACCACCAATTCCGCTGCAAGCCTCTCAGGGTCTTTACAAGAGGTGTTTGACACAAAGAAACACGAATAGAAGAAAGATGAAGAAAGCAAGCAGGCATGCCAGCACGCGTACCCGCACTATCTGACTATCTGTTTTGCCCTGCCTCAGGAAGAACCACACTGCAGTGCTCTCGGCTCAATGTTCCTGTGAGATCTGAAGGTAGCTTGGCTGGAACAAATCCCTTCCTGGCTTTGCAGTAGTCTTCTAGTCGAAGCGAGACATCATCGATAATCTCCGCTATATGATAAGTCGATGACACACCCGACTCGACACGAAGCTTAACTCCATAATATGTGTCGCTGATCTGATGAGGTCGCTGCGTGCGAACAATTGAGTTGGCCACATCGACTTGTGCAATCTCTACAGATACATTCCGACAAATTGTGAATGTGTTGCCCTTGATGTGATCTACAATCAGCCGCTCTGTCTCAAGCTCTGGTACTCCTGTGACACGAATCTGTGAACCTATTGGCAAGCAATGCCCCGGCGCAGTCAGAGTTGTACTGTACTTGCTGCACTCTACCTTGACAACACGTACAGTGTAAGTACCCATCGCGGATCCGCGAATTCTCCGTTTGTCCCACCACGGAATCTCTGGACTCTAGGCTCGAGAGAAAGACGTACCTTGATGAGTTTCTGAAGTGTGAGGGAGTTGTTGACTTCGTAAGCTAAAGCTGACTCTGTATTGACCAAAGGCTGACACAGGCTGGTCATTCAAGCTTAGCTAAAGAGAATCAGAAAGGCGAGGAAGAAACAGAAGTGTTTTGTGTGTTCTTGCATCCCAGTCTAGCATTTGCAACATATGCCCAATGCACATGCTCGCCACAATGCTGTAGTTGCAAATAAAATGAAATAAATATGTATCTGGGGGCATGTCTTTCTGATGATGTATGTAATCACAAACGTGGCCAAAGATTGTTTGCATGCTTCCTGGTGATGTTGTCATTGAAATGAGAGCCACAATGATTGCGGTTGTTACAGTGTCAAAATCAGAATCTGATGCCACATTTTCCAAAAAGCAAACAAGGATGAAAGGAGAGGGCAAGGCACGAAGAGCGCCGAGCAGTCTTGCTATTCGCAAGAGTTCTCAGTCTTCTCAAAAGCAGTGACAAAAACAAAGAATTTAGTCTATTTCTAAGTCTGTGCAATGGCCTCCAACCTAATACCATGGCCTCCAACCTAGGAGCGATGACCTCCAACCTACTGTAATAGCGATGGCCTCCAACTGTTGAAACAGTTCAAACAATTTCACCATTGCTTTGCTTCTTTGCCTGTGAAAGATCCCCTGGCAAGGACCAGTAGACTCGTCCGGCCACTTCTTGTTCATCGAGGTCCAAGTCCAAAAACGAAGTGCCTTGCATTGCACAAGGAATTTGATTGACCGAAGCCAAGGAACGCTGATTCCAAAATTGCACCCGTGCAGCGCAAAACCGGAGGTATTGTCTGTTCCCATGCCACGGTGCCGGAGACACTGGAATTGGTATCAAAAAGTAGCAAGCCGGTCGGAGTGGTTTGCTCCGCGAGAACAGATGTACAGTACCTGAGATGTGCTGGAAAAGCAACTCAAAAGGCAAACTGCCAAGTATGGTCAGGCAAAAAACAGATTGAGCCGTGACTTGACTCAATACAACCTCAGATCACAACCTGATCACAACCTCAGATCTTGCCACGGTACACCAAGATGTGAGTGAAGTTTCCAAGGGGCACCTGCGGCAGCTACTTCTGGACATCAACTCCGTTGTCAAGCCGCTGGATTAGCGCAGCCGCTGCGCTCATCCGAGTTGTGTATGTGTTTTGGAGTTGCTAAACGACCGCACCTCGGAAGGAACTTGGAGAGATTCATCCTGAGAATTTGCCACGCCCAGAAGGGATTGAAAGCCTCTTCCAGCCTGTCAAGAGAATCTAGGGCAAACACTTCAGATACGAAAACCTGTTTCACCTCAGGACCCGCTACTTCAGGTACGAAAACATGTGTTGATCGTTCCAGAAATGCCCTCGCAAGCGCCTCAGAGTCTGAAAGGTACACCACGAAGCTCGAGACCTCTCTGCGGGCATCGTATATTCAGAATCCACATGCAACCTTCCCTTCGTACATGTTTACACCAGTTGATCTCAAAAAAAACTCCAAGCTGAATATGCAAAAACTGTTGTGCAAAACACATTATAGACACCTGTTGGCCGTTTGCACTGGTAGGAACCAGGAACCAGTCGAGAAACATGATCTTACATGCTTGTAGCCCAAATGTCCCAGGGAAGGACCAAGTAGAGGCTGTTGAACTTGCCACCAAGCTGACTTTGACACTCAATTTTCTTTCCCATATTCTATGCTTTCACTATGGGTTTTCATGGATACTAATAATACTCATGTGTGTTCAATGTATATGTGCTCATACGTAAGCCGAATCAGAAAAAGTTGTCGTATCCCCGGCCGAACTTGGCATAGCAAACTGAATCTGAAGCTGACTGAAACTTGGACTCATCAGCGTCTATGCCTAGGCTTCTTTTAACATGTATTCCAAGGTCAAGGTATCTTATCCGTCGTCCCAACATGCTACTCCAAAATGGATGCCAAATTCACATCACTTGGCAACAATATCTTGAAAGTGGATACCAGTTTCTTAGCATCCAACGTTTCTTGACATGCTTGTAAATAAACATCCTTCTATGAAATGAATACTACATGGGTTTACAAGGTCCTCTTGAGAAAACCGAAAAAGAATAATGTTCTACAAAAATATCAGGCATATATAAAGGTTGGGTTCAAACACCCCTGCGACCCCTTACTCCCTCCGACAATCGCGAAGCAGGACGGAACCTGTGAGATACCAATAGCACTTGCGACGCGCCATGTCAAAGTGCCGCCCAATTCATTTGTGTCAAGGTCCTGAACCAAGATGTATCTTGAAGAAGCAGCACACATCACGTTGCAAGGCCGGAACATGATTGCTTCTTCCGAGATGTGTGAGGATATTGTCAGTCCCGTGTTGATCAGAAATATTACTTTATGTTCTTTTTATCCCAACAAACCTCACACCAGGCCGAAGCAAACTAGAAAGAAAAGGCAAACTAATAGCAAGGGCCTCTACTAGCGATGGCCTCCAACCTAGTGGCAATGGCCTCCAATCTATTTAGAAAGAAGTCGATCTTATTGGAGAGGTAACACCTTGGTAGCTCCGTGTCCTGATCGGTAAAGTTCAGCACAAGGTCAACAAAGCTGTCTGTGATCGCCTGGAACAAGAGACAAGGCTGACGACTCAGAAACAGCTCATCACGAGTTTCGTTGGAACAAAATTGGTCTCAGAATGTTCCGACCTTTGCCGACATGTTTCGTTAGTCAAAATAAAGCTATTAGAAACAGGTGCCACGCTACTAGTAACAAGTGCATCGCTACTAGTAACAAGTGCCTTACTAGTAGTAACAATGTTTGCTATGAGACACAATAAGCCACTAGTACAATTCATGTCTCTCATTCCTTGGAGCAGGCAAGGAGCCCTCTTGCCTTCGACTCCTAGCGGATTGTCCATCTTCGTCCAAAAATGTCCATCTTCGCCTCTGCCACGGGGGTGTTCTGCTCTGCCAAGATAGATTTGGCGTAGACGAGCACATAGGATTGTGCCTGCGTATCTGGCTGCACCTGTCACAGAGTATGTTCATTGAACGGTGACGTTGTATTTCATACAAGTTGGAACGACAACAGGGCGAGGAGGATGGGGCCTGAGTTTTTGCAACCTTTATAGACATCGATGTTGCGGTAAATATAGCAATTATGTGCAATTATAGATGAATGTTACCTGTGTGCTGCACAGGATGTGGAAGTTGTTGCGGAGCAGTGTCATTATTCATAAATTTGTGTTGCATTGTGTTTCTCTGTAAAGGTCCCATCCTGTATTAATACCATCATATATCCAGCTTTCCATAAGTTGAATACTTTCCATGTTGAATGAATCGTCAGTATACTCCGTAAAGAAAGATTGTCCCTTGTGACAGGTGTCCTCCCTTATAAAGGCCGAGGCCGTATCCAAATGTGTTTCTGTTACAAAGCCTTTTCATTGCAATCGAGTATCGCTTGCAAAAGAATTGAACTCCCAACTTCTCTTAGAGTGCAAGGCGTTATTAGTGGGCTGCATTCTTAAATGCAGTGTTGGCTTCGTGAATGCTTTGGCCTGTTTGATGGGGACCATTTTGCAGCCATATGTTTGAAAATGTCTAATGGGAACACCCGATTGCCTCCAACGCAATTACAAAGGAATGGATGTCTTTCAAGACAAGCGCAGCTTTCAATTAGAATCCGAGTCTGCACCCGAATAGATGCAACCAAATGTTTTACCTGAAAGGGGGAGCGAGGCAGTTGGGTGTTTTTGAATAGCCTTCAAGTGACAGAACAGCAGGAAAATGTTTCTGCATAGAAGCAGGCGCGCATGTTTGGCAAAACACTACATGTTCACAAGTGTTAAAAAAGTGCGACAAAAAAATGTTTACAGACTCTACAGGTCTTCATCCGCATGATCTCATAAAATCTTTGCCTGTAAAGGGGAAGTTGTCGAAGAGCCGATGAGGCTTCGTACTTGGCCAGACGTGTTGTCACTGAGGTAGATCAAGTAGTCCTCCAAAGCTGGTACTTGAAGGTAAGAAGCAAACGCAAATGAAAAAATACAACGCAATGGTTACTATGGAAATTGCAACGCAGATTCCTGCACGAATGAGTCGTCACTGCCCGTCCACGTCACTGATCCGCCGAGTTCTCCCAAGTCCAAGTCCTCCAGATGGTCGAGCTTTGCACATTGCAAAACCGCTTAACGCAGAACGTCTCCGTTTCATCTTGGGATTCAAAGAGCTCAAACGAGTTCAATGCTAGATTCACAAACTGCCTCTAGCCTGCATAGATCTCAAAAAAATACGGGTTGATAGCTAAGATAGAGGGGCAAAGGGAAAAAACTCTGGCAAACGGCAAGCTGCATTTTGTCTGCACTGTGGAACCTGTAGAGCCGACTGTGTCATCGGGTGCACTCAGCGTGTGGAGTATTTGGCCGGAAGACAGAGTCAAAAGCAAACACTGGTCATTGGCCAGAGTGTCAAGAACTATGCTGGGCATGCTTCTTTCGCACGATAAGCCATTAATTGGCTTTATGGGCTTGTACGCCTTTCTTGGCAATGCCCTAGAATGTTGCTGCAGCTGTGTACCAAGTGCCTCATGCTGGCATCACTCAAACTGTTATCAGTGAGCGACTTTGCCAGGCATTATTCCACAAGGACAAGCTGCAGGTCATGGCTGCAACCAAAAGCTGGTTCTACCAAGTCACCGATGATGCAAAAGAGCCAAACTCCTCACGCTCGAAATGTTCAGTCGCCCATGACCAAGGAGTTGCTAAAGGCCTTTAGGTGGGGAATGATGGACCCCATGATGGCGGATGTGACAACCAAGCGCACTGCTCCGGGTGCCCAACCAGCCAGAAGCCTTTTGGGACCCTTCGCAACGATCTCATCCATGAAGGAAATGTTGTGCATTTTGGCTGCTCTAAGCATCTCGAAGGGATAGCTTACCTCAGGTGATCAAACACATACCTCAAGGGATAGCTTCGCACCAACACCATAAGTACAAGTAAAATCTTGGTGGAATCCAGCCCAGCTGCGAATGAACCCACAATTCCACCGCAAGCCCCTGCCAGCAAATGTCTTGGACCATCTGGCAGGTCAGCAGACGAGCTCAACGCCTTCTCTGTAAACCTGAACGACTGTACACTGAAGATGCAAGTGGCATGAGTACAATGAACAAGTTATCAGCATTTGCTGGGACAAAAACTCTTACGGGGCACAATTCATGGGATCTATTCAACATCAAAAGCATGGTCTGTAGGATCATGGGCGATGCTGATGGTGGTCCTGTGTGTACTTGGTTGAAAGTCTCTGTTTTGACAAGTTCTAGCTCCACCAAAGGAAAGAGCGCGAGAGTCAAGCACGGGCGAACGGGAGAGGTTTTCCGCTTTGACACCGTCTACGCTGGCTACCTGTCATGTTCCTACTCTTGCTCAGTTGGTGGTACCAGTCCAACAAACGATGTCTGTGATTCGTTGCAGCCCTGACTATCTAGGAGGACTGAGGAACTTGTAGCCACCAACCATGCCGCCATTGCAAATCGTGTTTCTCACGAAGACAGCACCTGCGCCTTTCCAAAAAGCCTGCAATCCTTCCACACGGTAGATGGTCTGGATGGCATCCACCATGCCACTGTAGCCCCACTCAGGCCGTTGCATGCGAAACTTCACGAAGTTGATGGGGTTCACCAAGACCGTCTCTGATGCACCTGTCGCCATGCCTCAGTTCCAGCGAAAAAAAAGATGAACAAAAGGTGGTATATATAGTATTGGGTAATATAGTAAGGAAAATACAATTTTATACTGATACTGCAAATTATAATCTCATGAAACCTTCTCCGGATCAAACATGATAAACTGGTGACACTGGTTGTGCTTTGCTAATTGGTAGCGAAGTACCGATCACAGTTGCAGTTTGGCCATCCGCCTTTTTCATGTCACCGTCAGGTGCTAAGGTGTTGATGTATAGGTTTAGAATCGAGTAGTGGATGACAGCCTTTGGTACAGCTCCCACCAAAGCAGTTGGAAGAGCTCGATACAAAGCGCCCTGCCGAAAAAGCTCCTTGAAATTCCAAAAGAAGCCTTTCCTCAATGCAATTAGCAGTGGTTGACAAAGCATTGCAGCTAAAGTGTGGCTTGAGAATGAGTTGCATTGCATGACGCTTCCCGTTAACCTTAGTTTCACCAAGCTTCCCGTTCACCTGAGTTTGTGTAATCGATGCCTCAATGGGAGTTGCAATCGGCTGCTCGATGACGGCATGGATCGATCCACCAATGGCAGATGCTGCAGCCTCTCTCCTGGGAAAACAGAAAATGGCTGCACCTTGTTACTACTAGTAAGGCACTTGTTACTAGAAGCGATGCACTTGTTCCTAGTAGCTTATTGTTTCTAACTTGAATTCTTGCCCTTACTTTATTTGTAGTAGGGACTAAAGACGTTCGCTCCTAGCCATACTATGGACCCCCGCCTGAGGGCGGGGCTTCCTTGCAGAAGCGGCACTAATGATTTGGTTCGATGTTTAGGGAAACCTGGCACAATTGTAAATGACAAAAGTTCTTGGATCGTAAATTGGTGACAAATGCTGGTTCTGCACCCATGGCTTTTCTGACTGCTGTCTTGAGTCCAAAGTCCAAAATGCCAAGTGTCCAAAAGGAAGTCTTCTGCTTGGGCTTTACGGTCTCTGTCACAGCAACAGCTGGAGCCACAGTTGTAGTGGCCATGATATTTGGTGGATGAGACCACCGTGATGTTGCCAAAGATGAGAGATTTTCCAACTCTCTTTTTCGAGTTGAAAGGGTTTGAGCCCAAAAGCAAGCGAAACAGCATTGCGCTTGAAGAACGGACATGGTAGACATGTGACGAGAAACAGTTGTTCGATCAAGTGCTCAAGGTACCCCAAGAACAGACATCCAATAGAAGGCTTTCCTGTGCTGCACTATATGATCAAAGCATGGCAATGGTCTGCAGAAACTGTCATGCGGCTACCACGTCTGCCTGTCCTCATCAATGAAACTCAGATCTTCTACAGAGGAGTTTGTATCATTGATCTGCAGAGCAGAAGGAGTTGTTTGCTCCACAAAGCTGGACCTGGATCCAAAACAAAGCCAAGAAGCCGAGCTGCTGTTCAAGAGCCAGTTTTTGGACCTGAACCGCCTGATTTGCTCAAATAGAGGTTTTCAATGTTTTTCACCCTGTCACAAGTCTATCGCAAGAACGAGCAAAACCCATTCCATGTTTGCCTCTATGGCTTATGTGGCCTGGTATAGACCACCACAAAGAGGAAGGCATTCATGGGTGTATCCACAGGAAGGCTTAAGTTGTAGACGCCTCCAAGCGCCACTGCTCAGGCTGAATTGGTGTCAGAATGTTTCGATCCTTCGCACTCTTTCATCCTAGGAGCATTTCGGGCATCGCTACTAGTAACAAGTTCCTTTCTAGTAGTAACAATAAGAATTTAATTAGAATTGTAATTACTAGCAAAGGAATCTACTAGGACCTTTTCGCGCGCGCGGGCGGGGGGGTAGGAGCAAGGACGCTACTAGGAGCAAAGGGCATCGCTACTAGGAGCGATCGGACGCTACTAGTGGTAACTTCTCTTGCAACTCGCATCTCTCGCATCTCTCGCGCTGCCGTGCCGCTGTGCCTGCGTCCACTTCCCCCACGAGGGATCGCCCGGACCCCCAGGGCGACATAGCGAGGTCCACTCGGACAAGGCCGACCAAGTCGACGTCTCCATGGAGGCTCCAAGAGACAGTGCCACCCAAATCGTGTGCATCCAGGTCCAGGTCCCTGAAGTTTAGAGCGCTCGCACTGGCGAAGAGATCCTCTCGGAACATTCTCACAAGTTCACGTATTTCTCTTAGTACATCTTTCAACAGTTTGGACCAAGGGTCTCTTCTTTCTCTTCGATTTTTTTGATTCCTTGCTGAGGTGCTGTGACATGTCTGTCCCGTGTTACAAACGAGGGGCTGGTGTTTCACCACCAGCACCAGAACTAGCGCGGGTTCTAAGCTGTTGCTCCAAGTTCCTTGGTATTCCTTGTGTAGATGCTCAAAGCGGCATTGTCCACGAATACTTCACGAAAACTTCGTTGGCTATCCCAAACAGGGGATGAGAAGGGCTGAGGATGTAGAACCTACACATTTATGACCTGTAGTTCAATCAGAAGGTGCCTATGGCGCTGCAAATGCTTCAGCTGTGGCATGTATATACCAGGCCTTGTGAGAAAAGGCATGGCCTTCTATTCATTGATGGGACTTGAATCGTGAGATCGTCTCCTGTAGCAGCGTACTGCCCGGTGTGCTTTGCTCCACTTCAGAGGATGCGAAAACCAAAATGTGGCTCCAGTTTGACCTGTTGCTGCGAAGATGCGAAAAGGATGCAAAAAAGCACATCAAAAAAGCCAGTGACGACTGAAAAGAGGCGGCTTTGCTGGCAATAATCCGCACCTGGTGTCAGCTGGCAGCACCGTGCGATTATTGCCAACAGGCACACTGCTGATAAGAGAGCGGTTATTCCCTGCATCCGACGATAGGTAGACGTTGTAGCTCACAACCTGGGCCAAGTAATACAGAGCATGTTCATAAGGGGTCTAACAGTCTAAAAAAGTCTAACGAGTCTTGCCTTGACTCGATTCTCATGGCCTTCTGACTTGAACACGTATTCGGACTGAGCTGAAGGCATCATGGAGTCCCTCATAGGGCTCCGTCCACTGGACTTCCCTCGCGTGAGTTCGCTTGGCTCAAAAGGTGATCCAGTGATCCCGCCCTTGGGCGGGAGAAGCTTTCTTGAAGAACCCTCGCTGTATTGCTACTAGTTACTAGTAGCTTCCTGTCACTTACTAAGGACTACTAGCTATACATAATATATATATAACATCTCGTAAGCTACCTCAGCTACCTCTCCTTAGTGGCTACCTCACCTTAATTGCCAAAAAACGTATCTAGGAATCAAATCCTCAAAGGCCCGAGCCCTTCAGCGTCCAAGCGAAAATCTAGTAGCTTACCCCTACTTACTCCAAGTGTTTAAAGAACTATCATATTTCTTTGTTGTGTGTCACAAAGCGCAAGGACTCTGAGGCTCTGGACCCACCGAGGTGTTGTTGGTCCAAATCCAAATCCACAAAGCTCACTGAGCTTGGCCGGGCTGCTGCGTCGCTCAAGAGAGCGAGACCTCACGCGGATGAGGAGTTTCTCATGAAGAACTTCTTTGCAGCTCCATGCTGCTTTGCCAAACGTCAAATGGTTACTGTAAGTAAGTTCCCCAATGGTGATTTATGGCGATGCAACATCTTGGACGGACCTACTTAATGGCTCTGAGCCCAGTGCTAGGTGTGCTTCCCTCTGCAAGGGATGAGCTGGTGTATACAGCAACATGCGTAAAGCTTTGCAAGGGCACCTGGCTTTGAGTTCACGTCACAGTTTGGAACCCTCTTGGTTTGGAGATGTTCATCGCTCACTTAGACTCACCTTAAAGAGCCCTTCCGGCCCTCGAAGAAGTTCTCTCTACTTCAGCGAAGGCAAACATGTCGTCTGGACATCAATAAATGATGGTGTCTCAGAAGCTCCTGCGGCCAAAGACAAGGGCCGCAAGCTTTTTGCTGAGGGAAACAAACAACATTCAAACATTCAACATTGAACATTTGAAGCGAAACTTAACTGATGCTTTCTCTGTTCTACAAAAATGCTCCAGCAACTCATCAAACAGTTTCTAGCAAGACTGCTTGTCACACCTGGCAGCACAGCTGCAATTTCACTACGATTGGTTGCATCCGTGAAGTAGGCAAAGTAGCCTCGGTGGAGACAAAGCACCTGACGTCGAACAAGAACACATATCCGCACAGTCGAAGGTATACCATAAACACTGGAGGCAAGACAAGTAACCAGTCACTAGTGCTGCTCCATCCAGCGGTTCAGTCCAGCGTACTACACCACCCACCTGGAAGCAAAGGCCACGGAGAGCATAGTATAAATTGATATAAATTGATAAACGCAGGCAATTTGCAGCTTCCCGGCTGGCTGTAGGAGTGGTCAAATCCGTGACGAAAGCTGATCGTGCGATATGTCAAAGCAGTGCATCACCAGCAAACAAATATTAGCGCACATTCATCAATGCTCTGCCTCGCCATCATCCAGGTCAATGTCAGTGATGCTGACGTTGAAGACCGACACGTTCGCATCCAAAACATTCAGCACTGCGGGAGAACTTTGCTCAAACAGGGCCGATCTGGTATAGACCTGAGCTCAAAATCCACGTTCGAAATTGACCAAGGGATCACAGGCAGTGAAGACAAGTTGTGTTCGCACGTTGAATGAGACCAGAACTTTAAAACTAACATAAAACAAGAAGCTACTAGGAACAAGTGCATCGCTAGTAGCAACAAGTGCCTTACTAGTAGTAACAAGAAGCTATTAGTAATTTAGTATATTTAGTTTAAGTTTCTTTACATAAAACCCTTCGGTCAAAACACTAAGGTATGCGCTCTCCTTGCTTTAACATTACTCTCTGGAAGCAGTTCGCACTCGTGGCAAAGCTCTTCTCTGAGTGGAGAACCAGGATGTGTGTGAGTCCCGGTGCCAGATCAAAATCCGCCGCTAAAGACAGCTGGTTTGTACCTCAATGTGTTAGTCTCCACGACACAGGCTCTGTGATGACCGTGCACCTCTGTCTACGACGCTTGTCGTTGCCAATGAAGCATATGGAAGGCACCCCCCGCCTGCTGCTAGATTTGACAACACAGTACCTGGACAGAAACAAGCACAGTTTGTTGGCCTCTAGTTTGTCATGTTTCTCTTGTATTAACACAAGTTGTGCACAATGCAAGTTGCCCAAAAACGTAAGCCAAGAGGCGGTTGGCTCCAACTGCATCTTCAGCCAGGTACACGCTGTAGGTCTCCACAAGAGAGACCTCAAAGCATTTGATGAAGACATCGATGCACAGCTAAGTCGGATGACCGGGCGGATTCCTTTCTGATGTAAGGCAACTTTGAGAAACAACATGATCAAGCTACCAAATATGTCTAAACCCCTCAACTGGAAAATGCCACTCAGATCCAGCAACTGGGACTTCGGAGATTTGGTCAGTGTGACTTCTCAGAAAGAAAGAGAGCATAAAAGAAAGGTCTAGAGGTCCAAAGAGAAGACAAAAGAACAATGACAATGACCAAACAACAATGACCAAATAACATCCAATAAGGTGTCGCTCAAACTGCCCCAAAGGTCTGTTGACGAAGTCATAAACCAAAGCCACTCATAGTCATATTCTCATCCCCGTTGGTTGGACGGGTGACCCTGGCACCCTAGACTTTATAAGAAATCCCCAGTAAAATCAACACCTGGGGAGTTACAAAATGGGTGGTCCTAGGTTCATCAAGATACGCTGATTCTTTATATAATCCTGTGGCTGAAGCATGCTTGTGGCAGCGTGAAAGGCAATGAATTGCCCGGGGGTTCCCCGGGAATGGCAGAACTCTATACTTATAAATTCCTAAAACTGTGGTGTCGACGGTCGCCAACATTGTGCCAAAATGGCTTCACGTAGGACAGCTCCAAGGTCAGCTATATATGATTAATATATGTGGCTATGAAATCCTGTAAGTGAAAGAGCTGTGAGAAAGACTTCAGTCTTTATAAATTGCTGTAGTTTCACTCTTTATGAAATCCTGCTTTGAAGGCTGATTTTCCATGCAATCTTTATGAAATCCTGTGGATTGAGATAATTGTGGGAGCCAACCGGGCAGATCAAAATTTATACAAAACGACCTCCTGCCTCAGGAAAAAATAGTGCCCTAACAGACGGGGATTATTCTCTCTATATATATATATAATATGACTGTGGGTCAAAACCCCGAGCTGCAAACCCTGGTCGGTTGACCTACCAGGTAGTCTGTTCTGTTCATTATTGAACCAGGGTCTTCCCGGTGCATACAGTACCTGTTCAATGGATTTGAATTGACTTACACATCATGTCCTTCACCCATCTCAGGATTCTACGGGGTGGGCGTGGATCGTGTGTGTGTCTGCTCAAGATTCATAGCTTTTGTCCGTAAAGAAGAGTCCTTCTTGTGACTTTCAGCTACCATGTTTGAGGGGTCCAGCGTTGCTCCCCGTATAGTGGGATGGATGTCCATCCCTATCATCCACTCACCACAGGTTCCGTGGATGGCTCCTATTCAACACAAAACTGTGTATATATATATATATATACATGTGTGTGTGTGTCTCAATTGTCTCATATGTTTTTGTCAATGTCTATGTTTCTTATGTGCTCTTTTATCTCCTTTCTTTATATAACTATACGACCATCCCGTGTTTTTTTTCTCTCTCTCTCTCTCTCTCTTTACAGATAGATGCTCTCTCTCCCACAAACTGTTGAGTTGTCCTTCTCTCACATTAGGCTCATCTACTTCACAGCCCATTTCCTTCTACTTTCACAACCACATGGACACTTGTCACAACCTCTGGCGGAAAATATGATTGGTAGAGGTAAGCCTGTGGAGACTTAGATGTCTCGTTTGAAGGTGTTTGAAGCATGGCCAGCTGAAGACATTGAATGAAGAGTGGAACCCCAGTTTCTGCGGAGCCGACATCTGGTTCCGGTGGATGCCAAGATATCACACCTCAAACTGACAGGCGTGAACTGCTCAAGGCGTCAAAGCAACTCTGGTAGCAATGGTTCAGCACTCTGCAAGCTTTTAGTAGGTTGTCTCATGTCACACAGTAGCACAAAGATGTGCAAACAGAATAGTAATCCAGTGACAGAACTGCACTCTGCGTGGAGATTTTGGATCTGCCACAGAACCATGTGTTTCTATAAGCGTTGCAAGATTTGGGACAAGGCTAAGTAAGGGTTAAGGGCATGTAAGCTAAGTCCTACACCTATATTAAGGTGAAAAAAAAGAGTGTTTCTTCGTCGTAGTTTGTTAGGGGTAGCTAAGTTCATAGTACATAAGTGGGGTACGCCGAGAAATCGTACCTAATGAACCATGTCGGACAATTTGACCGATCACCGATCCCACCTCCCAACTCCTGGGCGTCTAGGTCCAGATCCACCAAGGTCACATTGGACACCTCATCGTGTGAAGCAAAGGATCTGTTGGAACACTAGCTCCAAGAAACGCTAAAGTCACTATTCCTGTGTTTGTATGCTTTATTCAATGTTGTTCTGTTTACATGTTTTTCTCATGACAAACTGTCTCGTCGGAGAAGGCAACAAACCTTGCAAAAGCTACCAAGTAGTGCAGCTCAAGTCGATATTGGCTAGGCTTGCCCACGGAGGCCATCGAGTCATTCAGCAAGAAGGCCCCCGGAAAAGTCTGAGACCCCAAAGAAGCCACAGAGTAAACCTTGGATTCGCAGAGTAACGAGCCACGGAAGTGAATCAAGAAACCTGAGAATCGTATTTGTTCATATTGTTCATGTATCGAGTGAGGACCGATTCCCACTTCCACCTCCCGATTCTTGGTGCCTCTCTCCCGGTCAGTCGGACCGAGTTGGACGTCGAGTCCCCAACCAAGATTTGGGTGAAGTTCTGCAGCGCAGTGTTTTCGGACAACACGGCCTGCAAGCGAAAGACTGATGAATAGATCCAATAATCAGCACATTTTGCAAAGCTGCAGTGAAATTAGTGCACAACGAGTGAAAGATACTTTCTATCCAACTCTGTGCTTCTCTTTTTTGCCGCATTTGTCCTTTTGGTCACACCCCTGGCGCAAAGCTATGGTCAACCAGCGGCTCATTCGCCTACGCAAAAGCAGTAAAGCATCATCCATCGTCTGGCATTGGAAAAACGGAAACACTATCAAAGGCTCCCATGGAAGTTCGTTGCTTGGCACACAGGCAAATGCATACTCAGGCCTAACTGGCTGTGGCTAAAGCCATACTTAGCCACAAGCTTGCCATACTTGGCTTCATCTTGACCTTTTGCTTCACCTCCGCAAGCAAGCTGCGTTATTCCCAGACAATGAGTTGGATTTGCATGTTGCTCTTTCAAAAATATCCTGCAAATCCAACAGTGCTGCCAAGTCTCCAAACAGAGTGCTGCCAGTATTGATCTGGGCATATTTTCTGGTTCAACGCCTGCACTGATGAACCATGAAGATCCATGAAGTGTTTCCAACTAAAGGATAGACAGACTTGTGTGGATTGTTCAAGATTCTGTTCAATGCAGTTCTCCACCCAACTGCCTCACTACCAGGCTTGCGGCAGACAGAAACATCTGTAAATTCAGCATGGTTGGAAGTGCATCACCAACAACTGCAGAACAGTGTTCCTGCTCTATCGAAGAGTCGGATGAAGACTTTGTTGGATCTCCGTCTCCAACCTGAGGACTGTTCAATGGTCTACCCTCCCTCTGAAAGCTACAAATGGAACCACCTAAGGACCCAAGAACAGAAAAATATCAAAGCTCAACAACCCGCATGCATGCCCTCTAAGTCCGCGGCTGTTCCAAACACCTAGAGAATCTTCATGCGAAGAAAAGCACCTTGACAGGAAAACACAGCGAAGGACCCTGCAAAGCTTTGTCATCCAGCTTGTGAAAGAACACGGATGCCTCAAGTCGAGCGTCTCCGGCTCCTTCTCTCCATTGGCCATGCTCAGCTTGAATCCAACCTCTAGCCTCTTCAATGCCTAGTGACGCAAAGGCTGGAGGCCATTGCAAGCTAGGACATGTTCCGCGACACAACACCAACTCTACATATGTCATTTGCTTATCAGCCCAGCTTCCTTCAAAGCTACTGCGGAAGAGCGATTCCCCAGCAAGCAGCAGCTGCAACTCCAAGCAAGACCTTGGCAATGTGTGCCAGTACGTAGCCTTGATGGCTTTCTCGCACCTGTCACTGGCCCTGTGCAAAAGGACTATCGATCTTGCACACAGCTTTGTTGTTTTGCCGAAAGACTATCGACAAGAGTTGACATCGAGCTCGCCCTCCCCACCCGGTCAGAAGCTAGATCCAGCTGCTAGATGAGTTGCCGCAGGCAGCAAGGCCATCTCAGTGATGTGGCCATGGATCAGTGCAGCATCAACAAATTGGGCCACAATAGACCCCAGGCGCATGCAAACCTGAAAAAGAATCGGTGTCCATCAAAAGGCCAAGCATTTTGCGACGCCACAAGCACTACACGCACTTGCCCGAGAGTCCAAGAAGCTGAGAGCGCACCCAGTGCGAAGGGTCGTAACGAGGACGAAAACGGAGCTCCCCACCTCAGCTGCGAAACGATCTCAACTTCTCAACTTCAGCTACCAGGATGAAAAACCTTGGAGAAAATCAAAACAAGTCGTCGTAAAATCAAGTTGAACAACTGTTGATGAGGCAAGACACAGCGTGGTCAGGACATTGAACACTGCAGTAGAAACCTAGCATGCCACAATGCAGAACCGGTTTTGGTCTCAACTGGTTTCGCCAAAAAGATTCCGCATGTTCGCTTTGAAACGCGCAGAAATGTCTGATTTGTCAGGTTGAGGCTCTGACACTGTTGAAGCAACAAACAAAAAATGCTGCGAGGACTGGTCGCCGTTGATTTGGATCTGGGCTCTGGATGAAGCCTTGATTGTGGGAGGCCGCAGAAAGCACACAGGAGAGAAACTCTAGGGTTGTCGTGCTGTCTACGGACTCCATGATTCCATGATGGTTTGGTGGGCTATTTGTGACAATGGCAATGTCGGATGGCCATGTTTTGACGCATTACACTTCATCTCCTCAAACAAGGCCCCCTCGGTTTCCAATCTCCGCAGCCAGGGCAAGTCTATGCAGCTACGCTGAAGCTATATGCCTTCGGAGACATGATGAGACATGGTTGCTGGGCGCTTCGATGTGCGGCTTTTGTCTCGATGTTCTTTCCTGGGTGCTTCGATGTGCGATCTTTGGGTCAGCAGCATTGCTTTGAGCTTTTGTTTCGCTCCTTTTATTTTTCACCGAAAGTGTCTGTGTCCCGTTCAAAACAGTCCCCATGCAGTCTGACAATTTGATGATGTGACATGTTTCATTAAAGTTGAACGATTCGTCAAATCGAAAGTCTGAGTAGGAAAGGAAAAGGGGTTTGCAGGTGCCCGCAGAACGCCCGAGAGCGGTTCTATTCACGCCTGAGTTCGGTTGAGCAGGGGCAATCGCCACCTTCCTGCGTCCTTCCGTTGAGCAGGTCTCCTAGGACTGTCTTCGGCAAGTGACCAATGCTCAAGCAGCTCAGTGCGGTCAAAGTCAGCCAAAAAGCCAACAGCTTCGGTGGTTCAATAAACTGAAGAAGCAGCATCGCCAGCACACAACCAGGCACACCTAACAAGGCTGAGCTCACAATGACAAGAAATCCTTCGATAACATCACCTAGTTCATCTGCTTGTCCTGATGCCGCTGTTTCTCGGTTGTCATAGGTTCTTTGAGCTCAAGTGGCAGAACTACAGACAGACTTGGACCAAATCGGAGGATCTCAAAGACATAGAGTCTGGCAAAACGGACGGTCTCCGCCTGAAAGAGCATAAAGCATCGCAGCCAGGTACCGATGCTCTAGACCTACCTCTTCAAAGAGTTGGAGCAGCCAGGTCGAAAGACCATACCTGGCGTCTTCGTGGCTTCTTTGTGACATGTTTCCGAAAGCAAGGACATGCTCGGCGATCTTCAAAAAAAATGGTTTCGTTGGAATCGTTTTTCGACATTCAGGATTCTTCAAGGAAGCTTCAAGGTTCGACCGTCACCGCCTTCAGCCGAGTAGTTTCTTCTACTCCTTGCTTCAGCTTTACCAGACTTGTCTACTTGGTCTACTTATCACCCTTATCATCGGAAGTACTTCTTACATCGTCTTACTACCCACGCACCCAATTGAACTACCTCCCCCAGCGAAGAGCGAAGCATGGCGCACCATGCGAAAGCGATGGAGAAACAAATCGCTGCCAGGCGAAGGACCACGTGATTCGTTCTCAGGAGCTGAAGTCGCCCACCTGACAAATCACTCTGCACACGTTCGCTCGGTGTAGCTTTACAGGGTGCTGATCGTTTGCTTTTCACACAGCCTTTGTTGTGACTCCAAGTCAAACTAATGAAAGCTCGCAGGTGGTTCGGCTTCAAAAGAGGGCTTTAGCCTAGGGGCCATTGGTGGCCTTGCAAATGCAAATTGTCACAAGTTGCCCCATTCAGCCCTTATTTGCAACATTGCAACTGGGATGCTGATCGATCTTTCCTCTATCACCCGAATTTGTCCATCATTGGCCTCCTGCACTGGTAGCAGGTGCATGCACTGTTGCGGAATGAGACATCTGTGCACATGTGACAAAGTTTTACGGCCCAACAGGAAAGAACTCACAACAGATCACAACAGACTTACAATTTGAACCTACTAGCAATCCGATTCAGTCAACTGTGATCCATGGCTTTGCATAAAGGTGACAAATATGCGTAGCATCGGGACACACCCAAAAAAAGGTCTGATCAATGTATGGCTCCATCAGGAATCAGGAACGTATTTTTCAACTGAGCCACTGAGCATCTCAAGACTGATTCTGGTGAACTTCCTAATGGCCAAACTCGCCCTAGAAGATTCTTAGTGTTCTGAATTAGTTCTTGTCCGTGAAGATTGTTTTATGTACCCAAAAGTCAAAAACATCCCAAGAGCACAAAAGAGCAAGCTGGCTGCCTTTTGTCAGAAGACTTTGGGTTGTGCAAGGGTCCTCCAAAGAAGACCTATGGGCCTATGGGCGTGAGCTTTTCAGAGACCTGTAGGCCCTGTAGGCAACAGTGTTGCCTCCAACCTTGAGCCAAAATGTCCCGGGGGGGACATTTTAGTGAATGTCTGTGAACATAAAACTTGCAACCGCAAGCTCTATGCAAGTGTGAATGTACTCCCGCATCAAGATTCCACTTCTTCACTTTACAACACACGACCGAGCAAAAGCCATGCTTAGTGCCGCTGCTCCGTCACGTCACCGGCATCACCGGCCCAGCTCATCTCCTGGGCCACTCGAAAGGCCGGCCCTGCGGCTCGCAAGCCGGCGAAGTGTTGCAGCTCGCCCAAGAGCTCGGCACGGCGACCCTGAAGCGCAAAAGGCAATCCGATAGAAAAAGGAAAGAGGTCACCAATACATGCCCACCCAGTGGAGCAACAAAGGTTCCACATCATTGGCACCACATGCTAGCGCCGCCACATCCAGAGAAAATCATTGGCCCGGGCCTGTTGTTGAAGAAAGCTTGGCGACTCTGGTATCCAGCAGCTCACCAGAAAAGCATTGAGCAACGGGACCAACCCTGCCAATATGACAACTGAGATGGACATGAAGACCCGTACCCGGTACCCGTACCTGCTTTTGGCTCGTGACTCATCTCTGCTTTAGACTAACGTTTTTAAGGTGCTTACCCCAAAACGACACTGTTCGCCTGTGCTTGCATAGAACGCCTGCCATGTCCATCCCAATGAGAGCGGCCACGCAAGGAGCGACACTAAGACACTACCGGAGATAAAGGATGATGCGATCAAGCTAAGACCTCAACAACAAGCGCATCTCTTGTTGGCTTTGATTTCAACCATGCTTCATCCTCAAGACCCACTCAGGTATATTCATGCATGTTCTACAGTCCACACCTGCCTATCTTGTTCATGTCAAACATCTAACATTCCTTCTGTGTGGTTTTGGCACGATGCCGCCAGGTGGCTTCGGTGCCGCCTCTTTCGTGGATGGATCAACTCCTCTGCCAACGCAAAAATGGGGGGAACGGCTGCGCCAATGGCAACGCCGCTGATGTAGCGACAAAGGGTCAAGTGCCATGATCCTCTCCTTGATGCGACACCATTCATTGACACCACTCCCAAACTACTCCTCTCTCTCTTAGGGCGTGGAAATGCTGAACAAAAAATCACCTCGTGGGCCAAAGGTCGCTGCTGTTGTGGCCACAGCTGCTAAAGCCTCAAGGTACAGCATCATGACCAGCAACCGCTTGTGACCAAAGCGCTCAGCCAAAGTGCCTGCCACACATCCGGACCCGAAGCAGAACGTCCCAAATCGATAGAAAAATCCGGTGGGCAAGTGCCAATGAGCCAATGTTTATAACAAAGCAAAAAAAGAAACAACATCCAAGCACTGCAAAGGGCAAGCCAACCTGCGGCGCATCCGCCTGTAAGCATGCCAAAGAATACTGCCGCAGCAGGCCAACGTAGATCACCAAAGTTCAGGAGTGGCAATGCAAATCCCAAAGAGAGCGTCTCAACCTTGGCAAGTGCCTACAGCAGAAATATGCAAGGATCAATTGCCTCATATGCTGTTTTCCTTGTATCAAAACTGTACCAACCGCTTCTCCATCTGAGATGCGGCATCTGAGGCATTGCTGAGGCATAAGGCCACCGTGACACGTGTGGCAAAGCCAGGAGAGGCTGCCAAAAGTGATTCCAGGGTAACCTGGCGAGAGTCGCCGTGACTTGTCGGCTCTTCTTCTCACATTCTTAGAGTTCTTGTAATTAAGCAAACAATCAGGCTACCCAGGCTACCCAAGAACTTGAAGTGGTGGTAACGAGTGTGCAATCGGTGATAGAAAGCACTCTCAATTCATCCACTGTGAACCATCGTTACAACTAACTCTCACTCTCACTATATATATATATATATGTGTGTGTGGCTTCCGAAAATGAACACAATTAGAAAGTATGTTTCTCGATTGACCTCGAATTCATCAGGCACTTCTTCTCCATCCTGCGCGCAAGCCATCAGAGTTGGTGCTTGCTTGTTTCCCCTTTCTTACTGTATCACAGGGCTGGCTTAAAATGGCGCTGAAGACAAGTAACAAGCATCCAGTCTACAAAATTGTGCCTCGTCCGGCTCAGTTTTGGCTCCAATGCACTCGACTGCCATTTGACCTCTCACCTCTGTCACCTCCCATGTTTCCGACGGCGCATGGAAGATGTGTCGTGTACAGGCCTCACTTCACCCCCAATCCTGTTCATCCGGTGCATTCATGTTTGTGGAATCCCACATGCCAATGATTGAATCTCAAATGGTGCAGCCCCAAGCCTTCACCAGTTTGTTGCCCTACTGTCATGGCTTTGACTCTGGAGCACTTGGGCAAGAGACGGCTACGCAGGTGAAAAAGAACACTATGTGCAATGCAACTATGCAACTGTTGCAGGAAGCTACCATTTCTTTGAAAAACAGGATGAACAATATATTGAAGAATTGTAAACAGTTGTCAACATGTGATACATGTGTACTCCCAGATGATCTTTCCGCCTGTGTCTCGTTGGTCGATGCAAGCACCTGTCGGCAAGGGACGATGTCCGTTTGGGTATCGGTATCGACGATTGTCTGCGCTGAATCGCAAGCTGCAGCCGTTTCATGTGGATGCTTGTGGTCTGTAGACAGTGGCTGAACGCAGTACTTCCCACAAACATGAAGTCATAAAGACGTGAACCAGAAGTGCGGAGGTTCATTCACGTCAAACGAAACCAACGGTCTAAATGTTGCCTTCGTACAAAAAGTGATGACATAGAACCTGCATCCCCCCAACAAGCTAGACTTGCTACCTGTTGAGCTCCACTTGGATCTGCAAGTACCACAGAGTAGCTCACCACGCGAGAGCTATCCATTGGCTCCTTCACCACTGAACCATCCAGTCACATTTTGAAGCAAATCGGAAAGGCAACACATTAAGTTAAAATCAGTCTCAAACAAATTTAACGATCTGCCCACGACATCACGTGTTGAGCACTCCTCCCAACGAACAATGCCACCCAGCTGGAAGGCGTCCAAATCTTCATCGATGAAGCTCAAACTCACCACCTAAACTCAGCGACTCAGTAGATGACTTCTTAAAGGGGCACTTACCTTCTAGTAGCAAGGTGCATTACTACTAGTAGCTAAGGGCATTACTACTAGTAGCTTCTTGCCCTTACCCTCTTTCTTTCCTCTCTTGTTCTCAGATGAGACCCTTTGTTTTTGCGCGATAGGCCATGGGGTAAAATGGGTGCTACCACATGCAAGGGTGCAGAAGGGCTCCGGTCCCCGGTTCCTAGATATTCTGGCAATTGTTAGATTGTCGTCTCGTTAGGTTGTTTCCTTTGAACACCCATCTTTCATCGTTCAATGAACAAATCCTTTCTTTGAGATTGTCTGAGGTGAACAACAACCACTGGGGTAAATACTGTAGGCTCATGGCTGTTTCGTTTGGTTGAGACATGGCTGTTTGGATTCCTGAAGGATGGTTCACCCGTTGCAATCAAGGCGCTTGCGCCACCACATCCTTCAAATAGGCAAAGGCACCCAGTGTCGCTTGTGCCAGGGCGGAAGAAGCAAATACTGACACCTCCGACAGACTTCACCAAACAATGCAGTGAACACTGCCGCTGCCACTACTACCTTCCGAGGGAATAAAATTCTTAAGTAATTCACGCAACTAAACTATGCAACAGCTATGTCAGCCAAACATGTCAAAGTTCTAAACATTCACAGGTCCGGTCCAGCCAAGAAATTCGTGAAAAAAGGGGGGTGCAAAACCAGCGGCTGCAGGCTGTTGCCGTATCTGTCAGCTAGAGCTCTTGAGGGTGCGGCAAAGCTGAAGTTGCTCAGCTCTGTGTTCAATGGCAGGACAGCCTACAGTCCACAGTTCCCACTGCTCAAGTGATTGAGACTCTCCAAAAGGACAACTCTTGCTTTCTACAAATCTCAGCAAGAGTCTATTTTCAGCATATTCCCAGCGCGGCAACATGTTTGTGCTGCCTCATAGTTCTGGCCATTGTGCGCCAACACTTCTGCCACAAAATGCCTGACATCGAAGCTGACCATAAGGTGCCACAAACATGTCTCCTGTGGTGTCTACCTCTAAGGTCCCAACCCTTTCTCTGGTGGTCCGAGGAAGACTTGGAAACGAAAGACCGGTGCTTGGAACAGCGAACTCCAAGTGATCAAGCCTGGCGTCGACGTGACGGCGTGACGACGTGACATGGCGTCAACTTGAATCGCCAAAAACTCCAGCGTCTTGTTACTAGTAGCGTTCTTGTTACTACTGGTAAGGCACCTGTTACTAGTAGCGTGGCACCTGTTACTAGTAGCGTTCTTGTTACTACTAGTAAGGCACCTGTTACTAGTAGCGTGGCACCTGTTACTAGTAGCGTTCTTGTTACTACTAGTAAGGCACCTGTTGCTAGTAGCGTGGCACCTGTTACTAGTAGCGTTCTTGTTACTACTAGTAAGGCACCTGTTACTAGTAGCGTGGCACCTGTTACTAGTAGCGTTCTTGTTACTACTAGTAAGGCACCTGTTACTAGTAGCGTGGCACCTGTTACTAGTAGCGTTCTTGTTGCTACTAGTAAGGCACCTGTTACTAGTAGCGTGGCACCT